TACTATGAACTACAGCTAACGAGGAGCAGGTGAGGTCAGTTAACAGATACTGAAAAAGTCCAAACACTAAGAAAATTAAAACTAGCCTCTGGTCAGCCTCAAACACACAACCAAAAAGGGGAGTGGGGGATAGTGGCTGACCACTTGGCACATTAAGCCACACAGCATTCCAGGGAGCAAATAAAGACACTAGAGATTAAGGAGCTAAAAGACATAGGAGGAAACAGGATAGACAGCAACACCTGTTGGCCAAATGGGTACAAGACTCATAGGGCAGGGCCAGAAGGACATCAATCCTGACAACATAACCATCTATCCATTTTCTGAAACCGATTGTCATATTCAGAGTCACTCAGCATGTACTGTATCTGCCTTGTGAAGGACTGGAATTCTGTCCTGGATGTTCCCTGCCTTTTGCCCTGTAATTTCTGGAATAGTTTCCACGTACTGTATAAGCCTTAGTTTTCAAAAATGGATTTGGATATTTCTAAGAAATTAAATATGTACCATAAGTGCTCTGTCCAAAATACTTTAACATGTTTTTTTTTTTTTTTAATGTGCAGGGAAAATGAACAGGACCAACATTATTTAATATCCTGTATCTTATGATGCAGTATAAAGAGCACTTTCCCGGTCCAGCAGGAAAAGCAATATCTGTGTGAACGCAACAAGGCTGCTGTCCAAAAGGGGTATACATTTTTAAAACATCGTTCAGTTGGTGTTAATGACACCGGAACACATGCTTTCGAAAATCCCGCTGTAAGCCAGCTGCTGTCAAAGCTCTCCATGGTGATTCTGAAGGACGCTCGGTCTAACACCGCGGTCACACTAACCAGCTCAGAACACTAACCTTAACCCTCCAAGAACAGCACGTTTCCTAATGCTCCTGACCTCAGCACTGTCACTATGCTGCAGCACCTGTAAGTGCGTTTTATACCCCGGGTTCATGTGTGTCACGCCTCGTGATTAAGCGTGTGTTAGTCCATGGGTTTAAGTGCCTGTTACTGCCCGACTTGCCGGTGCCTGTTGCACGCCTTCCCGGTGGCTGTAGACGCTCCCCCGCGTTTCACGTTAAGAAGAAGCGATGACATCTGCCGCCCAGGACCTACGGAATGCCAGCGACTGGCTGAAATAGCGTCTGACAGTATTGAGCAATAATAAGTAATAAGTGATCACGCAAACATTTTCAGCACAGAAGCATCTGAGCGCTTTCTCGGAGAGCTACTCCTTTCTGCCCACGTAACTGCCCCTAGCCTATTTCCTATTCGCATACAGGATATGCCGTAAACGTGAGAAGCGCCGAAGGCTTGTAAGACGATAGCACACTTTGTTAAAATGAATTTATTTAACTTATCGTCCTATAAAAGGTTGCTGCATTTGCGAATAAGGAGAAGGTCATACATGAGCATTTTATTCCTCTTCTCTCTTTCTACATCGGCAATGTACTTCATCTACTCCGCGCCTGGCATCGGTAAGATTTTTCGGTCTTCATTCGTGTTTTAAGTGATTAATGTTTATGTTTTATATAATATACAGGCAACACCTTGCTTCGTGACACGGATAATCGAAATAGCCAGTTGAGCTGTAAAGCAGAAATGATCTGCTTGTCATGGGTCATGCAGTTTCATAAATCTGTAAAGGCTGTAAATCCTACAGGGAAGTAACAATAAAAAGAATTGACGGCAAGGGGATTGAGGAAGCGCGTTTTCCTTCTCTTCTTTACCGGTATCGCGTTGGGCTGATTAACGGAGATCATTGTCACATTTTTTGTATATTGAGTTACGAAGCTATCGACTGAGAGTGTGTCCGTGCGCGCGTTGCAAAATCATGAATGGGGTAAATGTGCTTTTCCATGGCACGGCTTAATTAGTTAATATCAGTACTGGTTACAGTTTTTCTTGATTGCTTTTGCACATTTCATTAAACATATTTAACATTATGATCAAGACTATATAAGAGCATTTTTCAAAACAGTTCATGCATGTATACGTAGCACAACACTATATATGGTTTAGCTGCAAAAGCCAGTAAGTCACTCAAAACAATTAAGTCATGTCTCAAAAGCAAATAATTCCACTAATTAATTACAGTAAAATCCCGTTATAGTGGACTCGCTTATAACGGAATATTGTCTATAACGGACTAGGTCCGCTGGTACAGTACAGGTGTTATGCCGAAAAACGCATCCCTGCCGGAAAAGGCATCCCTTTTGAGTTACGAATGCATGCCGGTGTTCCGACGAGTTGAGCTTTTAAGGGTTTTTTGGGGGTCAGGGGTTTTTAGGGGGGTTTTGGGGGTTAGGGTTTTAGAGGTTTTTTGGGGGTTAGGGTTAGAGTTTTACGGGTTTTTGGGGGCTATTGATTAGCACTACGGTAGCCTTACTCGACAAAGTAGCTCAACTCGTTTCAGATCAGCGATCAATCGGTCATTTAGAGACAGGCATGCATTCTACGGGAGGGAAGCCTTTTTCGGCCTAACACCGGCCGTGCGCCTTTATGAACATGCAGAAAAAGCGTCGGATATAGCGGACGCGCATATAACGGAATTTCGCTTTTAACTGACAGACAATTTGGTCCCCACGGCTGCTTTTAGCTGTAATTTTGTTCGGCTATAACGGACATGCAGCTCCGCCTACAAGGCGCCTGGCGTGCCGGTGATACCCAGCGCAGATACGTAGTCAGGAATATTAATAGTCACGCATCTGGTCAGGTAAAGTTGGATTACTACATGTACAATATAATAATCTATACCACAAGTGTGTCCGCTGGGGTGTGGCACGAGTAAATGGTGTCCTGTAGTTGTGTTCTGAGCATACAGCAACTCTGGGTATAACGGACTGTTTTCCCTTGAAGTCCGTTAATTATAAGTGGATTTTACTGTAGTCAGTGCCACCAAAATGAAAAGTACAACCAGTTTCATTTAACCCATGAGTCAAAATGCTTAGATATATTGTCAAAATGTAAGCGTAAGTATGCTCCTGAGCTCAGAAATTATGAATGATAATCGGCTCACATTTTCTGATTGTCACTTGACGTTTTTCTTTAGCAAAATGATACTTTTTCATGTCACAGACACCGGTTTCACACAAGGCTCTACATTACAGTATGTAAAGTTCACTGGTGAGAGAAAGCACTCGCGTACACATGTAACTTCTTCAGATCTCATGACACAGTATAATAGGAAACAAAAAGGTCACACAGCACTGTATAACACAAAAACAGCAAAGTGGCAGTACAAGAACAACAAGAGGACAACAAAATCATGTACCGTGGGAACCAAAAACACAAAAAATGCCATATCACAGCAATTTATGGAATATATTTCAAAATCATTTTGAAAGCTTGCTTAACTCTTTTGCAAGTGGTGGCTAACATAATAATCTTATACATATAATTCAGGGTGTAAAGTTATTACAATGGGAAACTACATAATTATTTTGACCAACAAGATGCTCAATGATAACAATTACAGTTGTCATCAAAATGATTCAGAATGATTTAAAAATATATTACATAAATTGCAGTGAACTTTACATACTGTAATGTAGAGCCCTGAAATGTTGAAACTGCTGTCTTTGACATGAATATGTATCAGTTTACTAAAGATAAATAGCCATTGACAATGAGATAGTGGTAATCGATTATCACTCAGAATTTTGGAGGTCAGGGGCAGACTTACACTCACATACTGACAATATATCTAGTCATTTTGGCTCTCATGGTTGAAAAGATGCTGACTGTACTAATTATTTTGGTGGCACTGGCTAATTCATTGGTGGAATTATTGGCTTTTGAGACGTGAATTAATTGTTTTGGGTAAGCTACAGGCTTTTGCAGCTAAACCATAGTGTTGTGCTATATGCAAAAAGTGTGAAATGCTCTTATAGTTTTGAGAATGTTAAGAATGTTTCATGAAATCTGTCAAAGCAGTCGAGAAAAACTGCAATAACCACAATATAGACACCCATTGACTGAATGATATGGCTGATGTTTGCTGTCATTTATGATTAGTTGATGAATGTGCAGGACAGTGAAATAAGTCCTTGTCATTGTACATGTTCAAATTCATTTGGCTTTCACAGGAGAGGTCATGTGACTAGTATTCTGCTGAAATTCTTAGCTTTCACTTAGTAAGTAAAGCGAAGAAGTCCGATTCTGCAGAAATCATATACAGTCGTGGAAAAAATTGAGTTTCACTCAATTTATGCTTGTGCATCTGTGAATAATATATGATTTTATTTTATTTTTTGTAAAATGCAGCCTATTTTTCCTCTGTTTTTCATTAATGAAGGGCTTCTTCCTTGCTTTATGGGACTTCATTCCTGCTTCTAGGAGCCTGATATGAACTGTCCTAGCAGTGCACTTCACACCTGTACTTAATGTTTCCCATTCCTTCTGAAAGTCACTTGATGTCATCCTACAATTCACGAGAAGCTGTCAGATAAGTTGACGGTCATCTCTGCCATTATAAAGTCACTTCCGCCCATTACCTGGCTGGTTTCTGGTTGTTTCCAGTGTCTACTGCTTCACCTTATTCTTACGTACTGTTTTTTTTTTTTTAATTTTGAACCTGGATGCAACCTGCTGCTCAGCCTAACCTTCTGCCAGCAGGACCACATTTAAACCAGGATTTAACAATGCAGATTTGTTTAAAAATATAGAGTGGTCTCTTAATATTTTCCGTGGCTGTATATGTGAAAGTCTATGTTGTTGGATGTTCATTAAATAAGGGAGAAATGTGCCAAGAAACAGAACATGTGCATGAAAGCTTTCACGGAAATGCCACTGTATTTATCTACATCTTATCTACACACGCTGCCCAGATCTCCAAAGTGCTTTTATTATGCTGAAGCTTGTAAAACAAACATCTCCAGTGCTGCTGCATTAGTGGGCCTGACAGCTCTCTGAAGACCATGTCCAGAAACCAGCTAAGTTAGGTCGACTATGCATGGAAAACATAATTACTCTCCACACTGCACAAGGAGCATGTGCACAAAAAATTGTTCAGTTCACTAGTTTTTGTGGTATTGTTTTTGTTAATGCCTTTATTATTTGATATTCATTCATTTTCAGCTTTAGCTGAGTAAACGTCTGCTGGTTATGCTGTTTGGTTTACATGCTGATGTGTTTGACTGTGTGCCAGGGGTCAGTCTTCTTTAAAGTGACAGTACCGTTAAATGTACGTATGATGACTGAACATATACTCAAATAACCTCAACTCAAAAATGGGGCTCTGGGAGTCACTCTGAAGATGTCAGGTTCTGCAGGCGCACTGACCGATCGCCCTGTGATTGAGGTCATGATGGAAAAGGCCGGATCTTAGAAGTACCAGGAAAAGTCCTTCACTCAAATGGTGCCTGAAGATGGCCATACAGTACATCCCGGGGACATCCGAAGCCTGCTCTCCAGAGGGACATTGTGCACTAAGCACCCCCTGCTGACTTCATTATGTCTTTTGCAAAATATTGAACTCCATCACTGACTTTGCATTACTTGGTTCATTATCATACCAGTTATGGCAGAGTTATCTACTGTGGAAGGTGATGTTCATGTTGATAAGCCTTTTCCGCCTATGAGGCTCTTAACCCCAGTCACTTGATTATAAATATCCCTCAGGGTAAATCCAGCATCTTTTAAAGCCAGGGAGTCACCCTTAAATCAGGAAGCCCCAAATGGAAACATTTGAGCTTGTGGGTGCTGTGACCTGCCATATTTACCCTGCTGTGGGAAAACACGATCCTGTCTGTGCTTCCTCCAAGGTCCACTTAGCGTGTGACAGAAGGCTTGCAGGTCACTGCAATTTCCCAGTAATTAGATGGTGTTCAGATTGTGGTCACATGACATTCAGACGCTGGTCACATGGTGTTCAGATGGCGGTCACATGGTGATCAGATTGAACCTCTTCATCTAATATCTTATTTCACAATGAATTAATAATTATTGCACTTTATTGCATATTCAAGTAAAATATATATAATTATAGTGAAATAGTTGTGGCTGTAAATCCTTCCCTAATGATTTGCTGTGCCAGTACAGTGTTCTGCATGTCCATTGTCCATGTTGCTAACTGTGTGATGTGTGGTTCTCACCAGGCTGTGGCGGCTGGTTGCTGGGGCAACACCGTGGCATATCCCCCCCGGAGGATACTCGTGCATGACATCAGGCACATTATGCCGTCCCAGCCTGGTGTGGTCTGGTTGTGGGGGGGGCTGAGCCTTCCTGTCACATGTGGGGTGGGGGGCAATGTGGAGGAAACCAAACACAAAAGCTGGCCAAGCTTACTCAGCCGGGAAGCTGGGGGATGTAATGTGCTGCGGAGCACCCCCCACTGAGTAAATCTGTGACATTTATATAGATAATCTGCCCTGTTGACGGGAGCTGTGTTTTTCCTTCCGCCTCAGCCGTCTCACTGAGTAACATTAGTGATGAAAGTTAGGGGTCACTGAGCTAACCGCTGTAGCCCCAGCTAGCCCGCCGGGGTATGCGCAGAACAAGCAACACCTACAGTGTGCCAGTGTTTTGATCTTACTCATGCCGAGTGAACGAAAATGGTTTTCCTACTGACTGTGCCCCCGCCAGACCTAAGCAGCACTACCCCACACCACCCGCCCACCCACTCACAGACATTCCTGTGCAAGGTCCGGATACCTTTCCAGTCACGTGCTCCGGAGTCTGGCGGTACTGCAATAGAGTGATGCATTCTGGGAAGGAACTTCACTCCGTCTCTACGTGCCACCGTGCAAAATCGTACTGTCACTTTCCCACAGAAAAAGCACACAGGAAGTGAGACCAGAGCAAGGGAAGAGCTGGGACTTCCCGAGCAGCAGGCAGAGGTGACACCAGCGTCCTCCTGAGGGAATGTGGCCATATTCACCCGCTTGTGAGGCAGGCATGTGTGTTCATGATGGTCACTACATTGGAGTAAAGGAGCAGTGAAAACACAGTTTCAGTTTTAGAGTAGAATGCAGCTGGTGTGGTGGTCAGGGTGGTTAAGACTGTAAGCTGAACTGCTGCAGGTAGGCAGTGACAAGCCGTGTTCAGGCACAGAAGGGGCATGTAGAAGTCAAACGCGTGCTGAACACAGTGGGACATGACAAGTCGTGTTCAGGCACAGATTGGGCACACAGAAGCCGCATGCTCTCTGCACACGATGGTATATGACAAGCCGTGTTCAGGCAGAGAAGGGGCATGCAGAAGCCACAGGTATGTTGACCGTGTTCAGGTGCAGAAGCACTTGCACTCCGATGCATTTGTGGTCTCTCTTTTCCGGATTCTTCTCGAAGGCTTTATGCTGAGGCAGACATAGAACAAGCCCCATGAATAACCTGCACCACAGTGCTGTGTGGTAGGTGAGAATTTATTGCGCAGGTACTGTAGTTTCGTGACACATATTGAAAGTCCAAAGAGGAGTGTTTGTATGCAAATGCCCTGTAACACCCCAGGGAAAGCAGAAAGTTGCTGAAGGCTGGGGAAAATTGCAGAGGGGCAGCAGAAGGTGAAAAAGATAGCAGAACAATCTGGCTTTGGTTGGAGGGCATTGTGTGCTACATCACAAAGGAGCTGAGCACTTTTTACAGCAGTCTCACTCTCTCACTCGCCTCACTCTGCACTCTGCTTGCCACGCCGGCTGACACATTGTCTCATAGAGGCAAGGCTAAAGGAGCTCCTTTAAAAGCCCTGCTGAACAAAACCAGCTTGTTTGACCAGCTTATGGCATGTTTTCAAATGAACTTCGATGGTTTAGATGGTCACACCAGCTTATGATGCTCATTCTAGCTGGTTTTGCTGGTTGCACCAGCATGATCAGCTTGATAGGCTGGCCTACCCAGCATGACCAGTTGGTCATCCACCCAGTTACGATGTCAAAGACCAGAAATAGTTGGAACATGACCACCTTAGACCAGCTAAAACCAGTAACCAGCTTAAGCTCATTTTAGCAGGTTTATTCAACAGGAATAGGAGTGAGATGCAGTTGAGGGTAAGGGGTTTATTCTGCTTTTCTGTTTTGCATGAAAATCTGATGTTTTCTGTTTTTCCATTTCTATTTGTTCTCTTTTTTTCTGTAGTAAACAGATAAACACTGCCGTGCAAAAATTTTGGGGTGACTTAGAAATCTTCTCGCTTTTGAAAAAAGCAAGTTTTTTGTCCATTAAAATACCATCAGATTGATCAAAAATACTGTGTAGACATGGCTAATGTTGTAAATGATCATAAATCATATGATCATAACTAGAAAAGGTTGTTTTTAATGGAATATCTACATAGGTGTACAGAGGCCTATTATCAGCAACAATTAGTCCTGTGTTCCAGTGGAATGTTGTGTTTGCTAATGCAAGTTTATTATTTTAAAAGGTTAATTGATCATTAGAAAACCCTTTTGCAATTATGTTAGCACAGATGAAAATTGTTGTGCTGATTAAAGAAGCAATAAAACTAAAATAAAACATTTCACAAATGAAGGCTATTCCATGTGAGACATTGCCAGGAAACTGAAGATCTCGTACAGTACAATGCTGTGTACGACTCCCTTCACAGAGCAGCGCAAACTGACTCTAACCACAACAGAAGGAGGAGAGGGAGGCCACGAGCACAACTGAGCGAGAGGGTAAATATATTAGAGTATGTAGTTTGAGAAACAGACGCCTCATAGGTCTTCAACTGGCAGTTTCATTAAATACCCGCAAAAGACCCATCTCAATGTCTATAGTGAGGAGGCAATTCCGGGATGCTGGCCTTCTAGGCAGAATTGCAAAGAAAAAGCCATATCTCAGAATGGGCAATCAACAGAAAGGACTAAGATGGGCAAATGTACACAGACACTGGACAGAGCAAGATTGGAAAAAGTGCTATGGATAGACGAATCTAAGATTCAGATCACAAAGAAGAATGTTTGTGAGATGCAGATCAAATTAAAAGATGCCGGAGGAATGCTTGACGATATCTGTGAAGCATGGTGGAGGCAATGTGATGGTCTGGGGCTGCTTTGGTGATGGTAAAGTGGGAGATTTGTACAGGGTAAAAGGGATCTTGAAGAAGGAAGGCTATCACTGCATTTTGCAACGCCATGCCATACCCTGTAGACGGTGATTCACTGGAGCCAATTTCATCCTACAACAGGACAATGACCCACACACAGCTCCCAACTATGCGTGAGCTGTTTAGGGAGGAAGCAGTCAGCTGGTATTCTATGTATAATGGAGCGGCCAGCAATGCCACTGGAATATATGAGCTGTTACGGGAACAGCTTGACCGAATGGTACAGAAGAAGTGCCCATCAAGCCAATCCAACTTGTGGGAGATGCTTCAGGAAACACAGGGTGAAATCTCATCAGATTACCTCAACAAATTGACATCTTGAATGCCCAAGGTTTACAAGGATGTAATTGTTGCAAACAGAGGACTCGTTTTTGTGAAACTATTATTTCATGTATACTTTCATGGAAAACAAGGAAATTTCTGAGTGACCCCCAAAGTTTTGAACGGTACTGTAATACTTTAGGTACAAAACAAGAAATAAGCCCAAAAACAAAGAACTCCTTTGGTTTTATGAGTTTGGGAGAGGAGTGTGTGTGAGAGAAACAGGTCATGAGGGACAGGGGGCGCTCAGCACTAACTGAGCAGGCCTCATGACTGCCTGCGTCTGTATGTCCATCGAGGACAGGTCTGTTGCTTAAACTGCTGCTTATGTGTCACAGGAAGTGATGTCACCAGTCCCACCAATTTTCAGCAAGAACTGATTTCACTACTGGATACTATCTGCATGTGAGGGATCGATACGATACTTTTTATTGATCCCCGTGGGGAAATTGTCTTTACGCCTCCCTCAACTCGTTGTAGAGTAAGCTGTCTGCAAAGGGGAGCCACCCATAGTGGCACCCAGGGAGCTGGGGGTTAAGGGCCTTGCTCAAGGACCCGCCGATGTACTGAGGCTGGGTTTGAACCAGTGCCCTCGTCATTACAGACACCCAGGCTTAGCCCACTGAGCCACACGCTGCGAGCCGGATGTGGCAGTCTGGCGGCAGAAGCCATTTTACCTTCCATTTTCTTATCTATGAGGACAGACAGTCCCTGACCTTTCGTCCCCTATCCACACGGCCTGCCTTCTTCCCCGCATCGCAGGCAAGTGGCACCTCACTGTCAGCTGCGCTTATAGCTGCTCTGCTGCTGCCGCAGCCAGACTGCGCCTCAGAGACCTGCAGCTGTGCCAGCCGCGATCGGCGGGCTACAATCTGCTCCCACAAACAGCCAATCACGAGGCTGCAACTGAACACAAGTTCACATGGACGGGGTCAGGTGGTCTAGTTACTGTTACCTCAGGATCAGTACGGCTGAAACGCCTGATGTGAACGATTTTGAACATGATGTAATTGTTGGTACTAGACGTGAGGGTTCCAGCACATCAGCAACAGCCACCCTCCTGGGATTTTCACACACTACGGCGTGTGGAGTTTACAGATGGTGTTGTGATGGACAAAAACATCTAGCAGATTGGCACGCCTGCAATGTAGATCTTCATGCAAGTTCATTGTTCCAGCCTTGTGTACAGTATTTGTCTGTCTGTTTTTGTTTTCAGAGGAGTGGTTTCATTCTCAGATTGGCTGGCAGTTCTGTTATAAATGTATGACATGAGCTCCGTGATTAGGTCTGGTATGTGATTCCTGTCACTGTACTGGATCATCACCATGCACCTCCCCTCTCCTCCCACCAGCGAATGAGTACCTGTTCAGGGTGCAGGCGTGTGGCATCCAGATCCGGCAGAACATGCAGAGCCTGGGGGCGCAGGTTCTGCAGCAGGTGATCCGGGGGACCTACAGCAGCACCAACAGCACAGGTAGGGATCAGCTGGTGTGGTGTAGCTGGTTACCGGTTAGGGCAGCGGTTGTGGCACTCATGTGATCAGTCGTTACACATCAACAACAGGTCAGTCAGAGAATTTCTCAAGAAAATAAATGAATGAATGTGGAGGATCAGTCTCAGTCCAATACACGCTATTGGTATCGGCCCAATACCGGCAAAAAATGCTGGATTGTATATCGGGGGGCAGGAGTGTAGGAACCCAATCTGCTTTTCCATTAGAGATAGGTCTAGTTTGAGAAATCTCAAAATGCTTGTAGCCTCAGCACGTCATACTGTAAACAGAAGTGAGGGTCATGAAGTGAATAGTTCTCATGTTGGCTGTGTGGAAATACAGTAATACTTTATGGTATGGAAATAAACGCAAATCTGCAGTGCGATGTATGGAAGGCTAGTGCTGATTTTTCTTAAGTCTGAACACAGTAAAATTTATACACACTGCATCTCTTCAGACTTGTATTCTTTGTAAAGTTTGGTTAATTACTTCTGAAAGGTTTTATCTGTGCTACACTGTATATTTTGTACTGGACAATAAACCACAATAACTTGCATGGTGTTGGGCCACCTTTTGCAGCCAGTACAGCATCAGCTTACCTTGGAAATGACAGATACAAGCCCTGCACAGTGGCCAGAGGGATTGTGATCCATTCCCCTTGCAGAACAGGTCACTACGTGATGTTGGTGGAAGAAAACGTTTCCTGACTCCGCCAAAACACCCCAAAGTAGCTAATAATATTCACATCTGGAGACTGTGCAGGCCATGTGAGATGTTCAGCTTCAATTTAATGTTCATCAGACCACTCTGTCACGAGTCTTTCTGTGTGTATTGGTGCACTATCATCCTAATACATGGCACCACCTTCAGGGTACAGTGTTTGAACCATTGTGTGAATATGGTCCTCCAGAATGGTTCGGTAGTCTTTGGCAGTGATGCGCCCATCTAAAGCAAATAGTGGGCCTAGGGAATGCCATGATATTGCAGCCCAAATCATCACTGATTCACCCCCCTGCTGCACTCTGGGTACACAACAGTCTTTGGGGCTTTCCACACCGTAACTGTCCCGCGTGTGGGAAAGATGGACTCATCAGAGAACAATACACATTTCACATTGTCCACAGCCACAGATTTGTGCTGTTGGCATCATTGAAACCAGCGTTTGACATTGGCAAGTGGCCAAGGGTTTGGCTATAGGGGCCCGACTATTAATATTGACCCTGTGGAGCTCCTGATGAACAGTATTGGTGGAAACAGGAGAGTCGAGGTGCACATTTAATTCTGCAGTAAGTTGGGCAGCTGTGGTTTGATGTTTTTTGCATAGAATCTGGGTTAGTACCCAGATATCCCTTTCAGTCAGCTTCCTCCTGCATCCACAGTTACTCCCATTGGATGAAGTCCATCCTTCGTGGTGGTATGCCGACATTACCCAGGACGCACCACAAAGACTTGCTGTCTTCAGGGACGGATTATGGGTTGTGTGGGCCCCTGGGCAAAACGTTCGTGAGGGCCGCCCCCCTCCCCCCCCACCACCACAACCACCACAATTCAAGGGCCCTTGGCAGCCAAACGCCCTCCCTCCATGTTTCCATCAGAGGCCCTATAGGGTCAGGGGCCCTTGTAGGCAGAGGATCAAAGAATGTAGGCCCTCTAAAATAGACAAACGAAAATACATTGTTGATAAGCGTTGCAAATTGTTTTGGGCTAGGGGCCCCACGGGCCCCCTGCACCCCAAGGGCCCCTGGGCAGCGGCCCCGCTGGCCCGGTCCGTAATCCGTCCCTGGCTGTCTTGGTCATGCATGCACCAGTGAGACATGCAGCAACAATCAGTTCTCCTTTGAACTCTGACATACTCCCCTTTTTGTTGTGTGGATTGTAATATATTTTGTACAGCTGTGCTATTGCTCTGCTAATTCAGCCTTCATACTCTGCTCTTACTGATGGAATGTGTGATAAATGAAGATTGGCCACCAGGCCGCGCATATATACTGTAGGTGTGAAACCTCAAACACTATACTGGCCAGTGTTTCATTTTCATTGTCTATCCGCTTCATGTGTACAAGACAATAAATGGTTAGTTGGGAAATACTGTAAGAAATATTTATGTTCATTTTTGTGAAAGTTGTTGCTGAATAAATCATAGAAGCAGATCATGTTGGCCATGGATTTCCTCGTGTAGCTTTTGTGTAAGCAACATGACCATTATATTTTCCTACTCTTAGGATTCTCAAATAATGCCACCACAACACTAAATGCAGACAGTTATGTCATGTTAACTGAAATGTATTGATACAACTATCTCATTTAATGCTTAGTTGATAAAGGGAATAAACTTGTGGGGGCCCTGCTCATTTTGTGTGTTAGTCACTGATTAGCCAGGTCTGAAAGGCGTGATGGGGCGTTGTCTGGAAATGAAACTGCATTGTCATGGTGACAATCTATGATTTTTACAGCAAATGAAGCTGCTGCTGAAGGACGAGGTTGATTGGGAGTCAGGCTGGGGTCTCAGGGCGGAACCTGAGGGCAGAGCCTGGGGGCAGGACCTGAGGGCGGGGTCTGAAGGCAAGGCCTTCCGTTAAGTCCTGACCACCATTCTGCTCTTCTTACAGACTTCATTTACAACATCAGTGTAAGTGAACAGGACATGCCGACAGCCACGTACCTCCCGCTGGACTTCACGTACCACACTGGCCAGCCTTGCCCGGAAAAGCTGCCTTTTATGAGTGAGTGGCTCTTGTCCCCGCCCCATGGTTAATCACTCCAGTGGCATCCTGGGAAATCTGGCTGCTTTCCTTTACAACACTACCCATTTTTGGCAGTTGCAGTTACTTTTGCTGGTGTCAGGCTCACGGTTAGCAGCTTGAGCTGAGTTTGCCTTGCAATCTGGCAAATTCTCCCAGTCTTCCCTGTTACTCCTCCCATTTGACCTCAGTTAAGTGTCTATTGCTGTTAGGAGGAAGATGCCCCAGGGGTGCCGGATAAATTGCTGAGTCTACACTCAGACCAAAGGCTTCACCCTCACCGGTGTGTCTCAAAGGGATATGTGAAGACGGATGCATTCTACTGTACCTTCCTCCTTCCTCCTTCCGTCCTTTCTTCCATTCTTCCTTTCCTCCTTCCTTTCTTCATTCCATACTTTCTTCATTCCCTCTCATTCTTTCCCTTCTCCCTTCCTTCCTTCCCTCCTTCTTTCTTTCTCTCCCTCCTTCTTTCTTTCTCTCCTTCCTTTCTTATGTCCTTCTTTTCCTCTATCCTTCCTTACTTCATTCTTCCTTCCTTCCCTCCTTCCTTCTGTCCTTCCGTTCTTCTATCCTTCATTCACTCCATCCTTCCTTCCTTTCTTCTCTCGTTCCTTCCTTCCTTTATATTACCTCCCCAAGCACATGCTTGCCTTCCTGAAAATGAAATTGTAGTTAGGTTGGCACCACATCTCTTGCTGTGGGTCTGTGTGTCTCACAGGAGGCCAGATACCAGTGAACATGAGCGAGGTGACCATGGAAGAAGTGGAGAAGGCCCTGCTCCATGAAGACCCTAGGCTGGCCCCCGGGGGTCGCTGGAGGCCTCTGGACTGCCTACCACGTTGGAAGGTGAGCAAGGGCTTAGTTATACATGATAGTGTGTCTACACGATCACAGTTACTGTTAATGTAGATGGTCAAACCCTCTGGTTGGTCATTGACATCATTGCCAGCCACATGTCTGTCTGCATGGGTATGTTTGTGTACCCTAGGAGGTCCGGTTAAAAAGCACAATGTAGAACACTGCTGTTAAAATGTGAAATTACCACGAGAACTGAACTCACCGACCCATTGACCAGAAGCGTGGGGCACAGCAGAGGTTGTACTGTGTAACGATGGCTGGTTTCAGTTCGGTCCAGAGCGGGAAGGGTGTCCCGGCTGAGGATGCTGAAGAGGTCAGATGGGAATGTGGGCCTTTTCCCCAAAGTCTTGGACCTCCTTCATGGCCTGCACTGCCGTGTAATGCTTCACCCTCCCCTTTTCTCCCATTGAGTACAGATATACACAGAGCACATCACCATTGGACGGAAGCTTGCAACCTCATAAAGACTTTTTCTTGCTTCTAAGCAAGTATATTCATCCTGTCTATGTAAAGTGGTTATCTTATGGCAGAAAAAGACTTTATCAGTTAAAGAAACCTCCACTGCTGTCCCAAATCAGAGCTTGAAGTACCCGTTGTGAAAACATTTGTGCATTTATCATACCCTAAATGACAACCCATCTGGATGATATTTTGCATGCATTATCTCTACTACCAGAGAAATAAATGAGGGGGTGAGATGTTGACATTTCCACCTAAAAAAAATTCCCCCCCCCAGCAGAAACACAGCTTTGACAAACATGCAAGTTAAAACCTGACTGGCACCCTCCAGTCTCGACAGCCCTGTTACCGAAACATGTTGAGCATGCTCCTCTGTGTCTCTGCAAACTAAATTGAGCTGAAGATGTGATCTTCATTTCTTGCCACTCTATTCACTGGGTGTTTTGATTATCTTCTGGGACTGACCGAAACCCCCCACACTCCCCTCCAGGTGGCCATCCTCATCCCATTCCGGAATCGCCACGAGCACCTGCCCATTCTGCTGCGCCATCTGGTGCCAATGCTGCAGAGACAGCACCTCCAGTTTGCCATTTATGTCATCGAGCAGGTCGATGCCTGTGTCTGTGTGTCAGTGTCTGTGTGTCAGTGTCTGTGTGTCAGTGTCTCTCTGTATCAGTGAGTGTGTCAGTACTTGAGTCAGTGTGAGTGCGTGTGAATCAGTGCATGTCTCCGTGTCTGTGTCCGTATGTGTCAGTCAGCAATCTGCCTAAAACGCACGTTTCTGGGATGTGGGAGGAAACTCGTGTGAACGTGGGAGAGTCTGCTGGCTCCACACAAACAAGGATCACAGCAAAGGGAGCAAAAATATGATAATAAGATGATATGTGCTGAAACTTTATGCTTCTTTTAATCTCTTTTGGAGTTCTGATGTTAAGAGCTATAAATAATTATTTATGCTAAGATGGGAGCTGTTGGGAAGTCCTTGCAAAGACAGGAAGTGTTGTCATGTATCTGCCCGCCCCCCCCAAGCTGAGCATGATGAGATATATGCGCACTGTTCCACCAGGCAGGCGACCAGTCATTCAACCGAGGCATGCTATTCAACGTGGGCTTCCATGAAGCCATGCAAGACCTCGCCTGGGACTGCATGATCTTCCACGACGTGGACCACATCCCTGAGAGCAACCGCAACTACTACGGCTGCTCGGACATGCCGAGGCACTTCGCCGTCAAGCTTGACAAATATCTTTATATGTCAGTGTCTCTCTCTCTCTCTCTCTCACACACACACACACACACGATTGCATTCATATCTTTGTGGGGACCGTCCAATCATTTCTATGGGCATAACCCTAATCCCAGCAATGACAACCTTACCCCTACCCAGCCCTAACCTGAACCAGTAACCAAACAAAATACAAGACTTTTAGTTTTTTGATTGCATTCACTGATTTTTATAAAATTGAGTTTCCCTAAAAATGTCCCTGTGGCATGGTTATATACATGGACACTCCTCATCTGTCCCTAAACAGAGTTTGCCTTTTTGTCCCCCACAGGTTGCCTTACAAAGAGTTCTTTGGTGGAGTCAGTGGCCTGACCGCCAAGCAGTTCCGAAATATCAACGGCTTCCCCAATGCCTTTTGGGGCTGGGGGGGCGAGGACGACGACCTCTGGAACAGGTATGGATGGGGGGGGGGGGCGTTTAGGAATCATGTTTTGACTGTACATTGCATGAGGATCTTTTTCATAGTGTTACCTTCAGAAGCACAGAATGATAAGGAGTGGAGAGTGATGCTGCCCTTTTCTGCTGTCCTTGTGTCTGTCTGTGTGTGTGTGTGTCTGTGTGTGTGTGTGTGTGTGTCTGTGTGTGTGTGCCTCCATGTTTCTCTGCGTGTGCCACGGTGATGGCTCCCGGTGCTCAGGGTGCAATTTGCAGGCTACTCAGTGAGCCGCCCCCGCAGAGACGAAGGCCGCTACATGTCCATCCCCCACCACCACCATGGGGAGGCGCAGTTCTTGGGCAGGTGAGCCAGGCAGCACCCGGGGTGCTAAACGATAGCAGCCATGTCCAGAGCCCTAAGTGTGTAGGACATTTAAAACGTTCTATACATGCCCCACAGTAGTGAGTGTGCAAGAGAGGTTCAATTAGTCAGTAGTGAGTGTACAGTCCAAATAAAAGTCACTCGTTACCAACAGTGAAGATGCCCCAGTCCTTCAATCAACCATTAGCCTTGCCACATGCCTCCAGCCCATAATATGCATTTTAAGAGAGTATAGAACAGTGACACAGGAACAGCCAAACTAGAGAGCAACCCTTGCTGTTTGGCAGAAACGCACCCCTCATGTGTAGAATTGGCTGCTCGTTTCCTTCACTCATGCTTTCTGTGGCTCTTCCCCCCTCAGGTACGCCCTCCTGTGGCACTCTAAGGAGAGGCAGAGCCTGGATGGGCTCAGCAACCTGAGGTACTCACCACAGGTGTCCTACAAGCCTCTGTACATCAACATCACTGTCAGCTTGAGCCCCAACATGGCCCCCGTTATGGCTACCCTCTGACCTTTCACCTCTGACTCCCAAGCCACCCTCTGACCGTCCACCTCTGACTCCCAAGCCACCCTCTGACCGTCCACCTCTGACTCCCGAGCCACCATCTGACCGTTCACCTCTGACTCCCGAGCCACCATCTGACCGTTCACCTCTGACTCCCAAGCCACCCTCTGACCGTTCACCTCTGACTCCCGAGCCACCATCTGACCGTTCACCTCTGACTCCCGAGCCACCATCTGACCGTTCACCTCTGACTCCTGAGGCACCCTCTGATCTTTCACCTCTGACTCCCTTAACTCTGACTTCCGACCTGCTTCAGTGTTTTTTTCTTCTTACCAGACATCCTCAGCTAAGGTGACATGCACTGATCCCCTTTTACACAAAGAGAAAAAAACCCCACTGGATATTAACTGAATTCACGGCTCCATCTTGATCACGGGTACGTCATGAGTGTCCTCGTCCATCGCCCTTCAGACCTCAGTGTTTGCGAGGACACATCAGGGAGGGCTGCTGATACCCATGTGCTTCTGGACAACCAACTTGGTTGTACACATTTACACAATTCTGTTCGCTGGGAACGAAAATCAACATTCACGCCTTTGCCCTCTGAGATCTGGATGAAGCCAAACACTTGTAGCCCTGCTGAGGCTCAGCCTTCAGTTGGATCCCCCATCTGCTGTCTGCCTTTCCTTCCCCTACTGTCTTCTGCTCTAATCGCCTCACTTTTGCTCTTTGGAGCCCCTCCAAGCCAGTGCTGTGGGACAGGCTGGAACAAATGAGTTTACAAGCCAGAGTTATTATTATTATTTTTGCTCAATGTGCAGCTACTTCTGACCTTGCCGGGGGTTCCTGAGTTGTACCCCTGTGCTTACTCGCAGCCCCACTCATGCCGAGAAGGGAGGGGGCAGATATCATGTGACTTTCCATCTTGTGAATGCCCCCTCCCCATGCCACCTGCTCGATCCTCCGCGGGTCATCAGAAAATAGTACACTGCAGGCAGAAAGAGGAAGAGGCCTCAGAATGGAGACTGAAAGAGAGGCCATCCTGCAAGACCACAGAAGCCCTCTTCTTCCTGCCAAACAGCCGTCCTGCACCTTGGAGAGAACTCACGCCTCAGAATGCGGTAAACATGAACTGAAAGTTGGCCTTGAGAGATGAGTGTTGATGACACCTCCCACCAGGAGGAACGAGGCAACCAGGGGGGGAGGGGCTATTTGTGGCAACCTCTCTCTGCACAGGATTACATGATGAATGAACTTACACAGCAATCTTAACGCTATTTTATACTTCTGTATTGAGCCTGCGCTGTGATCTACGCTGTGGCCTACTCCATTGCAACCATTTATACTTGTGTGCTGGTGTATCTGTATCGGTCCGCATTTACACCACCAAAACACTAAATGGTACATAGTTTCGGATGTTGCATTTATTGTCTATCCCCTTGGGACATATTCAAATGTTGAATCACTCAATTTAAACATAAAAAACAAAGAAATAACAAAGTATCCATTTATCAAGTCCTGGTTACATTTGTGCTGCTCCAAACATCCCATTGACAAATTTGGGAAAATGTGGAGCCACTACAAAGTCACTTTTTAATGCATTTCCCTTCTAAAGTTAGTGTCTTTACTTCTTAATTTACTTAGTCTTGAAAAGTACAAATAAACTTAATGGAGATAAGTGAAATTGGCCCTGTCATCCTAAGTATTTTGTAGACCAGTTGCTACAATGCCTAGGGGGGATTATTGAGGGCTAGATATACAGTGCTCACAGAAAGTCTTCAGATGATTGCTTAGTTCTGTGAAAATGTTGCAAATTCATTGGTTTCATAACAGAAGTCCATTGACAAGCAATGTTTAACACATCTGCACATATCTGTCACGTGCGAGAGGAAGAGAGGCATCAGGGCAAACAAAGGACTTATTAACAGGGTGGAACAGAACTAGAAATAAACAGGATCAAAAGGGAGGCTAGGGAGAAGGCAACAGGGAGATATAACTTCAGAGACAGAACTGGGGAACCACAAGACTGGAAAGCACTTAAATACAGGACTAACAAGGGAGCACAATGAGAGGCAGCTGAAGTGAATCACAGAAGGGCAGGAACTAGAGGTAGGACTAACGAGCACCAGGCATGGCTTGTTATAGAAGACAGGAGGGTCAAACAGGGCAGGACATAAGTATATCTTCCTCACAGACATTTTCTGTTTATTAAGTGTCATGTTTTGACTTATTTAGTTCTGTTCTTGCCATTTTGCTATTAATTGATATTGTAGTCATTGGCTCCCAAAGGGATTCTAAACACAAGTTTTTGCTGTTTTATGTTATTGCAAAGGAGTTACTAATTAAAAAGCACCTACTGAGACTTCCTCTCAATTAACATTTTAGGTCAGAACAGCTCTTTTAGAACTATAATTTGGGTTTTAATTTATTATTGCTTGAAATTAATGTTTTATTTAAAACTACTGGTAGTTTCTAATGTGATGTATATTTTTTGTGAACAAATGAATAAGGGAATGATTGTTGTTATGACAACAACAAATTTGTACTTTTTTTTTTACTGAATTAAGCAAGCTTCCCATGCCTTTCTGTGAGCACTATATATAGCGCTTCAGCGTTAGCGATACAACAGTGTTAGCAAGCAGACCAGTCACAGATCTCATGGTTTGCGTGTAGTGACATTTCTGGAGAGCTGCACGTCAGGCTACAGTTACAGCATACTGTAGGGTCCGCGGCTATGCCGTCCATATGGCGTTGATTCCACGCAGAAGTATAAATTAGCCAATATAGGGGCTGGCCTCTTGTTTAGATTTTTTTATCATTTTATTTTCAGCTGTTATGTTATTTGTATGCCATCGATGTTGGATTGTAAGCAGGAGCTCTCATCTGCACATGCACTTTGGGGCATGAGGGCACCATTTTGAATGAGAACCCAGTTCTTGTAGACCTGCTCTCCACCTGCCACCCACTCTTGCCACGTCACAGTTTCTTGCACGGTGCTGCTTTGCCAGCTCCCCGTGGATCACAGATGAGACGGGCTGCATGGTGCAGCACACTGCCATGTGCGGCTGTGTGTTGGGTCTGTGGTGAGAGGCAGCAGGTCAGTGAAAATCTGGGTTGGAGTAAAATGGCTGAGCTCAGATCCCCAGTAGTGAGGGCCATGACTGCATTTATCCAGCACTGGTGTCTGAGTTGGGTGTTGACACCTGCCACTCCCTCCTCCATCTGGTATCATTAAACCGAGCACAAGAGTGCATGGGTTTCAGTTTTGTTTTATAAATGGCACTTTGGTATTTATATAGAAGTACCAGTGTAAATCATGCTATGTATTTTAAATGTTACTCTAGACTAGACATTAAGAATGGACTCTGCTGACTGTCTCCATGCTCACCTAATGACTGCTGTCTGTAAGTCTCCCTGAATGAGGACAGTTGTTCATTAAATAAACGGCATTTCAACGATGACTCCCTTATGTGTTATTCTCCCAGAGTAATATCGCATCCTGGCAGAAGATGACCTCCTCTGCTTCTCATCTGCATCTTACCTACCAGTCAAAAGTAGTTGCACACACTGAGGTTGTTGATTTGATGTTACTTAATATTTACTATAAATACATTTGATATTTTTTGCTAACATAAATTTACAGTATGTTCACCATTTGAGTACCTTTATTAGCAAGAAAATACATTGCACAAAAAAATTAAAGGAACAGTTTTTATAGCATCTAGTCAATTAAACTTCTGGGATATTGATCTGGTCAGTTAAGTAGGGAATTTTAATCCGTTTCAGCTGCTTTGGTGTTAAAGAAGTTAACAACAGGTCTACTAGAGGGACAACGATGTGACGACCCCCCAAAACAGGAGTGGTTTAACAGATGGAGGCCACTGACATTTTTCCTTCCTCATCTTTTCTGACTTTTTTCATTAGTTTTGTATTTGGCTACAGTCAGTGTTACTACTGGTAGCATGAGGCGATACCTGGACCCTACAGAGGTTGCACAGGCAGTCCAACTCCTCCACGATGAGCAGTTACTCTAGGAGAGCTGGACAGGGCCATAGAAGGTCCATAACCCATCAGCAGGACCGGTATCTGCTCCTTTGTGCAAGGAGGAACAGGACGAGCACTGCCACAGCCCTACAGAATGACCTCCAGCAGGCCACTGGTGTGAATGTCTCTGACCAAACAATCAGAAACAGACTTCATGTGGGCCTGACATCCTCTAGTGGGCCCTGTGCTCACTGCCTGGCACCGTAGAGCTCGATTGGCTTTTACCATAGAATACCAGAACTGGTAGGTCCGCCACTGGTGCCCTGTGTTTTTCACAGATGAGATCAGGTTCACCCTGAGCACATGTGACAGACGTGAAAGGGTCTGGAGAAGCCGTGGAGAAAGTTGCCTGACCTCATGTGGCGAGAGTATGCAGGCAGTTCCAGGAGGATGAAGGAACTGATACCATTGACTGGCCCCCACGTTCGCCTAACCTAAATCCAATAGAACACCTCTGGGACATTATGTTTTGGTTCATCCAATGCTGCCAGGCTGTACCTCAGATTGTCCAGGAGCTCAGTGATGCCACATAAATTTTTCACTTTGATTTTCGAGGTGTCTTTGAATTCAGCCCTCTGTAGGTTAATCATTTTCATTTCCATCAAACAATGTCACATCCATTCGTTCCTAACACATTATTTAGTCTGTATCAGTATAGATATCCAGCATGATTTTTTCCCCTGATGTGTTTTTAAAGTGTTCCTTTAATTTTTTTGAGAAGTGTATATCTTTGATTCATCAAAGTAACCTCCTCTAGCAGTTAAAACAGCAGAGAAAATTGGAGGTATTCATTCTAGAAGGGGCATTCCATTCTGCTCACTTTTATGGCATGAAACGGTTAACTAGTGCATTTAAAGTTAAAGGACAGCTTAGAATTTGACTATGCCATCGCCACACAACCAGTTACTAGAATGTCAGACGTGATGCATGTTACATACTACAGTATTTCCATGTTATAGAGGAAACTTGTTTTATTTGACTTATGTTTTCATTTACAGTTGTTCACTCAACTTTCCTTTGCTTAACAAGAATAAGATAAGATAATCCTTTATTAGTCCCACTAGTGGGAAATTGCATCGTCACGGCAGAAAGTGGACAATACAAGATAAGAGCAGCAAAAATTAAAAACAATAGAATAAAAACTATACCAACAGTACAGTATAAAAAGTACACTAAACAAGCAGTATGGAAATATAAATATGGATGAGTGTATTGAAAAATATAATTGTATAATATAAATAGAAATATTGCACATAGAAACTACCATGGTGTATTGGATGTGTGTTTGTTAGTCTGTGTATGTTCAGCTGCAAGGACTTTGTTGTAGAGTCTGACAGTGGTTGGAAGGAAAGACCTTCTGATTCTCTCCTTCCAACATCGTGGATGCAGGAGCCTGCCACTGAAGGAGCTGCTCAGTGCCCTCAGAGTCTCCTGCATGGGGTGGCAGGTTATCCAACAGGGATGACAGCTTAGCCACCATGCTCCTGTCACCCACAACCTCCACCGGGTCCAGAGGGCATCCTAGAACAGAGCTGGCCCTCCGGATCAGCCTGTTTAGTCTCTTCCTGTCCCCAGCAGAGATGCTGCTGCCCCAGCAGACCACACCGTAAAAGATGGCTGATGCCACTACAGAGTCACAAAAGGTCCTCAGGAGCGGCCCCTGCACTCCAAAAGACCTGAGCCTCCGCAGCAGGTACAGCCTGCTCTGCCCTTTTTTGTAGAGTGCATTTGTGTTATGAGTCCAGAACAGTTTGTTGTTCAGATGAACACCAAGGTTTCTGTACAATTAAAATCTGCAGTTTATGAAATAAATGGAAAAGTGGTAAAAACCTGTGGTGTGTAAAAATGTTGACTGGTGCTGTAACTGCCACAGCATGGCAGACTGTATAAAGCCTTCTGGGGCTTTTCTGCTGTCTAGGTAAAGCCAGCAGTCTAGAACCTAGAACCGTATAGAAGTTACTCATTCACATTTATCTGCCAATGTGTTTTAGAACCACCAGCAACCCACTGGGACCAGAGCTTTCAGAAGACTTCCTGTGCACTGCATGCTATGTGAGAATTTTCATTCATAGTGCACTCAAGAGCGGTGGGTTTAGCAGGTTTGAAATGCTGGTCCCCGATTTCACTTAATGCCCTTTTTTGGTGATGCACACATTGCAGCTGAGGTGGGTCACATTCAAGTCTTCCGGGTTCTGTTTGTAGGCTCTTCAGAGTAGAACCCTAAAGCCTCCATCATTCCTGAGAAGAAAGTCTAACATTCATATTCATTCCCGTTGATTCACAACCAGCCTCTGAAAACGGCTGCAAAAACTCTTCTTATGAATTTATAGAATACACCATGTGCAATAGTAACCTAGCAGCAAACTGCTTAGATCTGCATCAGATGGCAGTAGTGAAGAAACCAGACTTGTGACTGGAACTTCCCTTGTTCAGTACATTCAGGGACCTGTTGGCATGTAAATCCAATCACATTTTAAATCATGAGACCAATCAATTCAGGCATCTGTGAGTCAGTTTTTTTTTATCTATGCAGAACATTGAAAGGAAAGCATGTGATCTGAGACAGAGCACAAGAGAAGGATTAGACTTATGTAGGGAGCTCACTTGTCAGTACTTACAACCCACCAACACTGCATGGTGCCATTAGAAATTCCTTAAGAAACTCTTTTAATCACGCTATTGAGGACAGGGGCAGCGTGTAAAGTTTATTTGGTTTATTTGGCAACGTGTAAGGCAGTAATCAGCTGTTAGATTCCGATTCTCCACCTGGGTTTATCTCCTGGTTAATCTGGCATGGTACAGCAGTGATTAGCTAACTGCCTCAGACACACATCCCTCTCCCTGTTACTGCCTCAGGAGCCTCTTTCCCTCCAGAGCAGAGGATCAGCTGCCTCCCTTCTTACCTACTTTTGCTTCCTCGCTGACTACCTACCCCACTGAGCTCATTTGATTACCACATCACTCCATTTTTTGCCTTTTGAAAACAACTTTCATGTTAGTCGCTCCAGCTACATGTTGGTCCAGTGTGCTTAAAATTGGTCAAATGTCAGGTCGGCTTCTCCCCCAGCTTCAACATCGACTCGCACCCTAGTCCTTCATGTCTGTACTGTGAAATGACTTGTATGTATTGACATGTTTTGTCTGCGTACAACGTGCAACAGACTGGCACCCACAAGTTGCAGGGCAATCTAAACCACAGCAGCTTTTCACTGCACATTTCTGGCTCCTATGTCACCTGGCATAACCTTCATATTGTGTGTTTCACTTGGGGTAGATTGCAGGAGCCATTCTTATGTTTGTATTAGAAGAACAGTGCTGACCCGGCCCTTCCTGCTCAACAGTGCCTGGATGTCCTGACAATGACGGGGAGAACCCAAGCGGCTCGGCAAACTCTGCAGGGCGGCCCAGTGATGTTCACTGGCAGCGGTGCCTCGTTGATCAGCTGGGCTCCCATACCTGTGCCATCTGGCAAACACTGAACTCGGGTCCAATAATAAATCAGGACAGGAAACAGGCCTGGTGCTCCGGTATTGGGTCAGAGTTACTCCACAGTTACAGCACCCATGCACGGCTCAAGGCTAACGAGCAGCATTTTCTGGCTCATGACCACATTAGCAATGGCGGGTGACAGAGTCCATTGTACTGCTGCACAGCCACTGCTCATGCGACAGGATGAATGACTAATATAGAGCCAATGTCACTCCCAGGGGTTCAGCTTTCAGACCAGCTCTTTGCAGTCTGCGCTAAAGAGTGAGCCAAACGTTAGGCAAGTGCTGCCATCTAGTGTTCAGGAAAGCTGCATACAATCTTAACACAAGCACGTTCCGGGGGGGGGGGGTTGATGGATGAAACTATCGACATATTGATCCGAAACACCAAACAGAGAATACAAAAGACCCTGGGTGAGGTGGGGTGGTGGATGGACGAAGATGTCAGGACAACAAACGGAAACTGACAGGCTTGATCAACACCATTTATTTCCAATGATCATGGAGGAACTGGAGTCCGTGGACAAGCTACTGCTACAAGCCTCTTAAAAACGTACAGAGGAGGCCAATGTAAAGCCAACGGCAGCAGGCAGGTGACAGCCATCTGTCCAAGCATGGAAGGCCAAGAGCAGGAGGTCTTTACCGCCTACAAGTACGACATGAGTACAGCAAGACGAGAGTGCGCACTACCCTTAACTGTGACCAAGAAAACAGTTAAAAACGAGCTTGTATTTACACATGCAAGACTAAATCCTTACAAGAACCTTTTTAATTTGTATGAACTTGAAGACCTTGTCTAGCTATCCAAAAATGACAAGCATTTTGTGTAACACAAAACTGCGAGTATTTCATGTAATAAGGAACACAATGCCAAACATATCAGGGAGAGAGAAATTGTTGAGGAAATACAGAAGAAAAAAAAAAGTCCATCAACCACAGAGGACATTAAGATTTGGTCAGGATATTGAGGGAGGCAAAGTGATGTGTCCTGAACACTCCAACTGCAGGTTCCAAAACTTTTGCCGACTTGAGAGCCGTCATTTTACACAGCATTCTGTCTGGAATAACACACACTGGGTATGTCCACAGTCTATAGGCAGTCAGAACATGTTATTCTCAGTAAACAGCAGGGCTGGGGACCAACATGACTGGCAAGCGATTAGAAAGTGTGTTTCTCCTGAAGAGAGATGGGTGAGTCCTGACTGACATACGCAGGGTGGAGAGCGGAGTCCTAAGGCTCAGAAGGTGTTTTTGATCTTGGCGGCCACCTGCACCAAGATCTCGCCGATCTTCTTCTGCCAGTTGAGGATGTGCTTGGACTCTGCACACCACAGCTCGCCGTGCCGGGGCTCCACGTTCTCACAGCGCTTACGCACTTCCTCCTGCTGCTCCTGTGTGTCACGGGAAGGGGTCTCAGCACTCAGCCAGCTTAAAATATCGAGAGGAGACACAATATGGTGACCCGTGAGCTCACCTCCGTTCCGTGCTGCAGCTCGAACTTGTAGAACAGGGCCCAGGCGTCACCCAAGTCGGGCTCGATCTTCACCGTGCGCTGGAACCACTCCCGGGCTTTGGTGATCTTCCGCTCGCTCCAGAACAATCTGAGGTGTGGCGGCAGGAGGAAAGGGGACGTACCATAGATTTCAGGGGGAGAAGATTAAGACAGGAACAGTGCGAAGGACCTGCTGTACCTTATTGGAGAAACTTAACCTCCTTAAGTAGAGCAATAAACATCTTCGGCGATGTCTTAGAAAGGGTTTGACAAAATAAAGCTTTTTAAAACATCTGAATGACAGACAGAAAACGGTGCGACTAAGGTGTTTTGCAGTGCATTGTGGGTGTAGATCGAGTTGTGGCGGTGGGACATACTTGGCCACAGCTAGCAGGACGTGGGGGTCGTGCTCACACTTCTTCAGCGCGTCCACGCTCTTGGTCTTCCTCTGGGGCCGGGCCTCCAGAAAGACTGCCTCTGCCCACAGGATTCCTGCCGGGGAAGCACCGTTAGCCCAGTTCGACACGTCTGCCACTTCTGTGGTTTCATTACACAAAAGTGACGGCAAAAAGCACGCTCACATTCACCATAAAGTGTTCGCTATTAATACATATAAAGCCAAATAAATGACTGGCCCCAACACTGAGGATGAGTAGAACAGGACTTCAGGGTGGACATGGGCACAGACAGCAGACGGTGAGAGGTTCTGGTCAGCGTGGGTCTCACCTGAGCTGGGGCACTCCTGCAGGGCCTTGGCCATCAATGTGTTGGCGATGTTCTTCAGCCCCGCCCGGTACTCCAGCCGGACAGACTCAAGCCTGGACCAGAGGTGACGTTAGATACACACACAAGCGGCACAGGGCACCCCCCCGCACACACGCCTTTGACGACGCCCCGATTAAACGTGTGTGGCCCCTCCTCACCACAGGTCTGGGTTCTGGGGGTTCTTCAGACGGGACTTCTCCAGGATGGCACGGGCCCTGGTCAGCTGGCCCGCTTTCTCCTCCAGCCGCGAGAGCAGCAGCCACAGGGGCATGGAGTGAGGGCACTTCTTCAGCTGTCACGGGGATGAGGGGGTGGAGTGTTATGCGGCAAATCATATCACGGCTTCAGGGTAGAAATGTCACGGTCTAACAGGGACGGCTGCAAAGAACCATTTTGATATAAAAATGGTCTGAATCACAGCAAGGAGGCTATTTGTGGAAACTCCCTGTATCCTGACAATAACATGGAGGGAGCACAGGCTGCAGCAGGCTGCCCCAAGGCCCCCACAGTACTGGCAGGACCCCGAGCCACTCACTCCCTGGTTGTAGGCCTCCCGCGCCTTGTCCATGTTGCCTGACTGCTCCTCGATCTGGCCTCGCATCATCCACAGCTTGGGGAAGTCCTCATAGTGCTTCAGGGCCTCGGTGCAGAGCTCCTGGGCCGCCTCGATATTGCCCAGCACCCACTCCAGCTTCACGGACTTCATGAAGACCTGCAGGAGGACGTGAGAACATGGCAGACTGGCCACCGGGCTGCTAATGTGGTCCAGCAGGCCAAGCCGACCCGCCCATATTCTCCAAGTGCTCCCTGATGGCCACACCCATGGCCCCTCCCCTTACACAAAGGCCCCTCCCCCTACGACATGCATACCCTGGCGGTGGGAGCGCTGCTGCGGGCCTTGGCCAACAAGCGGCGGGCGCGCTCATACTCATTGTTCTCCGACTCCAGCTTCACGGCCGCCAGCCAGATTTCCTCGCTGTTGGGGTTGGCCTGAGGCGGTGAGGAAACATCGTCAAGGAGTCGCCAATAACGGGCAGTCATACACGCCAGACTCATCCCTGCAAATGCAATGCCCCACCTGGAAGGCCAGCGCCAGGATGCTGCGGGCAGCGGGCACGTCACCCGCCAGCCACTTGGACTTGGCTCCCATCAGCCACAGCACCTCGGCCTTGGGGCAGTGGGCCACCGCTCTCTGCAGCAGGGCCTCCAGTGACTCACTGCGGGGCCAAGGAAAGAGGAGGAGGGTGAGTGGGGAAGGAGCAATCTCATGGGAATGAGGAGGTTCACTGTGGAGCAGAACTGGTTATTTGGGGGAGGGGGGCTTACCGTGTGCCATGGTTCTTCTCAAAGTACGCGGCTCTCAACCACACGCTCTTCTTGCTGGGGAACTGCTGCAGGGCGTGGGCATAAATGGCCCTGGCACACTCCAGTGCGCCGTGAGCTACGCACTGCAAGAAGGCACACATGGGACGTCAGTGCCTTGCCTACGCACTGAAAACATGGCGAGGGAGTGGAGCCTGAGGCGGGAACCCGACACAGGAACCCAACGCCAAATCTCTGATCAGTGTCAGTAAGCAGCTTGCAGCAGTAAATCAGCTGGGGAGGTATTTCCCTTACTGCAGCACCAGCAGTGATAGCCCTCCCTGCCAAACTGAGGTCTTACACTCTCTGCATCCTCCATCCACGTGTGCTTGCAGTCTTCCTCCTCGATCCCGATGCCGATGACTGCCCGGATCACTGCCTGGCAGGTGGCCACACTGCCAGCTTTGTCACACTCCTCGGAATCCTGGGGGGATGGAGGCAGTAAGTGAGCTGCACCAGGAGGGGACGCTGTGGTGCACAGGGAGAAGCTAGCAGGTCTGACAGAGCCGTATAGGGGAGACACGTAAATAGGGCTGGGAAAGGTGATGGGTAAAGGAAGACAATGGCAAAGTGAGGGCAAGCAGAGGACACAAAGAGAATGAAGAGCCTACATGCAGCTGGAGATGGGGCTGGGGGTAAGATGGAGGGAACTAGACAGAGGGGGCGTGGCCACACCTGAATCCACTGCTCGCGGTTGATCTCGACCCCGTTGGCGCGCAGTGAGGTGATGGCTCTGTCGATGATCTTCTCCACCATCTGCGTGTTACCGTTGGCCTCCTCCAGCTTGGCGGCCGTGATCCAGATGTGCCGGTCCGTGGGGATGTTCTCGCGGGCCTTGTTCAGTACTCGACGGGCGTTCTCGTACGTCTCCAGCCGTGCCAGGGCAAGCCACAGCTGTTGGCAGGAGACACGGCCACAACCCGGTCAGGCTGTCCTACCTTTCATGCAAAACCTGACTGCCGCTCACAGACAGCAGCAGCTGTTAGCAGCCGGAAGTGTGGCTCCGTGTCAGAGAGTAACAGTGCATGCCGTCTCACCTCCACGCTGGTAGGGCAACACTCCACCGCCCTGCTCAGCATAATCCTGGCATCCTCCGGTTCCTCCAGCTCCACAGCCGTCTTCCACAGACGCACAGACTTCGACACGTTCTCCAGAGCTGCACGCACAGTAATACTCTAGTATGCAAATCATTTCTATAATGCTGGTAATGATTCTTGCAGTAAGAAAGTACATTTGTCCATTTCTCAGACCAGACAAACGCTACCGTGTACCTTTTCTGAGCACACGCTTCTTAGCGCGGACATCCGTCTCCAGCTCGGCGGCGCGGATGTAGATGCGCACTGACTGCGGAAGGTGCCGCACCGCCTGGGCCACCACCGCCTTGGCTGTGTCTCCCGGCTGCAGCCTAGCGGCCTCTAGCCACACGTCCTCACTCTGCAACACGAGCACAGCAGTCTGCACGTTAGCAAGATGTTCATGAAAGGAGAACGCGAGCACGTTAGCAAGCCGGTATCACCGCCCTCAGTCGACAAGGAGAATGCTAGCAGACTAGCCATTACCTTGCATAATCCTGCAACAGAATGCTAGCAGACTAGCCATTACCTTGCATAATCCTGCAA